AAAGGTGCCTCAGCCAGCTTGTTTTCCTAAAATGAAAGCTTGGACAACAGCCTTTTGCAGTTTCAAAAGAGTGAATTTTAAACATTGCTTATGGCCTTTGTTATGGGTTGTTTGGTTTACTATATCAGCAAAATGGACCCTGTAACTTTGGCAGAAGTTTGAAAGCAGTGACTTCACACCTGATCTGGGCCATGAGATATTTCATTTGGACCTGATTTATTCCTTTTCTGGCATGTTTCTTAGATTGCATGTAATTGTGCATAATGGACTTGCACAAAGCATTTTACACTGTTCCGTACAACATCTTGGTCTCTCTAAATTGGAGAGACATGGATTTGACCAATGGACCACTCAGTGGATAAGGAGCTGGCTGTACGGTTGCACTCAAAGAGTTGCTGTCAACAACTCCATGTCAAAGTAGTGTGCAGTGACGAGTGGCATTCCTCAGGGGTCGGGACTGGGACCAGTGCTGTTTAACATCTTTGTTGGTGACATGGACAGTGGGATGGACTGTACCCTCAGCAAGTTTGCTGATGACACCAAACTGTGTGGAGTGGTCGACATGCTGGAGGGGAGGGATGGCATTCAGAGGGACCTGGACAGGCTTGAGAGGTAGGCCTGTGCAAACCTCATGAAGTTCAACAAGGCCAAGTGCAAGGTCCTCCAAGTGGGTTGGAGCAATCCCAAGCACAAATACAGGCTGCGTGGAGAATGGATTGAAAGAAGCCCTGAGAAGGAGGACTTGGGGGTGTTGGTTGATAGGAAGCTCCACATGGGCCGGCAATGCGCTATCGCAGCCCAAAAAGCCAACTGCATCCTGGGCTGCATCAAAAGAAGCGTGGCCAGCAGGGTGAGGGAGGTGATTCTGCCCCTCTACTACACTCTTGCGAGACCCCACCTGGAGTACTGCTTCCAGCTCTGGGGACTCCCACAAAAGAAGCACATAGCCCTGTTGGAGTGGGTCCAGAGGAGGACCACAAAGATGATGAGAGGGCTGGAGCACCTCTCCTATGAAGACAGGCTGAGGACCTGGGGTTGTTCAGCCTGGAGAAGGGAGGGCTCCGGGCAGACCTCATAGTGGCCTTCCAGTACCTAAGGGGGGCCTACAGGAGAGCTGGAGAGGGACTTTTTACAAGGGCATGTAGTGATAGCACAAGAGGTAATGGCTTTAAACAGAAAGAGGGACGATTTAGAATAGATATTAGGAAGAAATTCTTTATTCTGAGGGTGGTGAAGCACTGGAACAGCTTGCCCAGAGAAGTTGTGGATTCCCCATCCCTGGATGTTTTCAAGGCCGGGTTGGATGGGACTGTGAGCACCTGGTCTAGTGGAAGGTGTCCCTGGCCATGGCAGGGGGGTTGGAACTAAATGATCTTTGAGGTCCCTTCCAACTCAAACCATTTCATGATTCTATGGTTCTATAATTATTTAATCCTGTGCAAATTTACAGTACGTTCATCTGGACAGTTACGCGGGCAGTTGTACAAGGAGCACGCTTCCCATTTTAGGGGCTTAAAAACAATCAGGTACTAATGCCCACATAAGTATAGCAGAAGTTCCAAAAAGTTTGAAGAGAAATAAATGTACTCATGCAGACCAACTGCATTTTTGGGCACGGTGTCTCTAACACATTCAATACCCAATAATAATGCAAATGAGGTATTGGAACACATTACAGAGGTCCATAAATTATGGAAATCCTGTTGACTCATTGATGATTCAACATTAAAACTCCCTGAGCCAATCGGAAGCTGATCAGGTGGAAAACCTGGCTCTTGGGAAAGTAAATGCTAGGCTCCTACCTCAGGTGCTCTGAATTACTGTGGGATCCTTTCACAGCATTAATCAGTACAAAGCTATTGCAGTGCCTAATGGAGGTGTGAATTAGTATTTTCTGATTGATGGGTAGATTGCATGGGATTAGCCCTAACCAGGTACTTTAAATAATGAGAATCTCTCCATCCAGCATTGAACTAAGCCACGCAAAACTTCTTCCCTGAAATCTTAGCAGAGTTTGGATGAGGAAGAACACAGATTTAGTAAATCACTGTGCCATTGGTTCACTAATTAATAAAAAATAAGGATGCATCTAGCTTCATGGGTAGTGCAAAGATACATATTTACAAACTCCAATTCAGTGCAAAACCAGATAGAATCTGGCAGTTTAAAAGAATCTGTGCTCATCATTCTTCCCATGTTTTAGACATCTTCCCAATTGTGTAGCTATTACATTTCATCAGGCAAGTGAACAGTATCATTTTATACACTTAAGTCCATATTCCATTTGAATGCAAAGCAATGTATTTATTAAAAGAAATTTAATTATCTGAAAGCTTAATTTTGATCCATTTACTTATCATAGTACCTCTTTGTGAATATGTCCATTTATTTTAATGAGAGGGATTTATTTTCTGAAACATAGAAATACCAAAACTGAGCATAGATGATATGTAAAACTGAGCTCTTAATGTTCATGCAAACCACATAAACAGATACTGCATAGCTTCTAAAACTCAGTAAAAAATAAGAACCTATTTAAAAATATTTCCTTTAAAGCAACTGTCTACATTTAATATTTAAGCCTTAGGGAAAAATTAAAGCAACAACACTTTTACTGCGTAACATTCTCATAAAACATGGATGAGCGCTTCACTTCTGATAACACAGCATGCATCAGGAATTTACTGAATTAAGGTACTACCAGATCAAGGGACAAAGAAAATCATGTTCAGAAAGATGAGAAAGACACTGATTAAAAAATAAAAATAAAACCCCAAACAAATCAACAACAGATTTGAAAATGAGCATTAGTGTTGCCCTATATAGTCTTCAGATATTATTGAAGATACTGCCTTTTCTCTAGTCCTGTTTTTTACCTCTACGTTTGTCTGACAGTCTAAATCTAGTCTTTATGCATTTCCAAATCAGACAGATAAAGCCCTCCCAAGCAAGCAAAAGGGAGGAATCAGATCAAAGACAATAAAGCATGACAGATAAAGGCAGAGCTAGCTCATAACAATAAAACACAGGAAAACAATCCACTTTTTATCAGCTTGCACAGTCCATGGATTGTAAGGGAAGATGATATTCAGATAGTACTATGGAATTAAAATACTTTAGGAGGCCTGAAAAAGCAGAGAGACAAAACTCACATTGTACTTGAATATATACAATCACTATACATAGTTTGTTAGTACTGATGTGCCATAGATAAAAACTGAGCAGTACAGAAAGTAACTATCTTGTAAAAAAAGAACTTCACTATCATATAGAGTGACTTTTTTCATAATTAAACATTGCAGCAAATGACACACCTACATTTTGAGACATGTATAAGAAATAAACAAGTGTTTAATCTGAATTAGTTTTAGCAGCTTAGTTTTAGCTAATGACGATTCCCATTTCCAAAGATAGTTTCCTTCCTTAAAAGAAGCGGGTCGACTCACAGACAGATATACAACTCTGAATAAGCAAACATTTGTAAATATTCAATTGTTGCATTTTTATGCAAAAATAACCCCTTCTTCTTTAACAAAATACATAGTTGCAAATACAAATTTAGCCAAAGAGTCAGATGAGTGGGATATTCACAAAGCATGGGATAAAACTAAATCCTAGGGGTTTTGTTTCTTTGTTTGTTTGCTTACTTGTTTGTTTTCCCCCAGAATAATAACTTTTGGTTTTTTTGTTTGTTTGTTTGCTTGGTTTTTTTATTCACTTTCTGGTGTTGCGTAGGTATGCTGCTTGAACTAGTTTCACATGAGGTACATTGAGGCCTAGGGGAAGGAATGATTTAGCAAAGTATTCTTCCTAAAATTGTATATTTGAATGAGTGCCACAGCTTAATCTTTGAAACTAAATTGGAACACGGATCAGCCACTGCTAATTTTTAGTAAAACAATATTAAATAAAAAATGATGTCTTCGTGATTTTTAATGGTGAAGTCATCACAGAAAAGTAGCAGAGCACTAAAATGCTCTGGTGACATCAGTCTGGATATACATAGTTACAAGTTAAGCGGTAACTCCCATCTATAAGAAACTGCAGAGGAATTTTGGTGACTACCTCCTTAGGCTGTAGGGTCCATTTGATCCGTGTTTTTGTTTGTGATCACTGACTGTACTTTTGTGAATATTTGTTAATGGTGTTGAATAGGTAAGTACACATTAAAACGCATATAAAGATTTTCAACAAGGCAGCGTGGTTAACCCAAGCAAGTAGAGGCACCTCTAACTTCACAGATTGCTTCAGAAAACTCAGGCTCAGCTTAAGGGAGAATGACAAACTCAGAAAAGTCTAGAACCATAAAATACAAGATGAAACATCACCAAAGACAGAGATAAACGCAGAATTATTTCGGTACAGAAATGCAGAAAAGGCAGTGGACCTAACGGCAAGATGTGAAATGCATTAAAAAGATATGAAAGTGAGACAAAAGGAGCCTCACAGACATTTAAAACTGATCTGAGGACAGAAATGGCAATAAGGATTAAAACTGCAGGCAGAAAAAAGAGCTAGCCTTTTTATGAGTTCACAATGTTCTCTGTACTCCTGCTTGCAATTAAACTCTAGGGTGGCAATCAGTCATCAGGAACATCCAAAAAGAGTAAGACCTACTGTAACAGAAGTTATTTCCATTCATATTCTGTTATGAGCCTTTTCCATGATCCAGAATTAATTTCTTCTACACCAAATGTTCTCAAATTATACCACACTAGTGTTTAAGCACACTGAGATTCATAAACCTTAAGAATGACAACTCAACCACAGTTAAATAAAAGTCAGAGGAAGCTTAACTTCATTTTAAATATAAAATATATTAATTTTTATTTTGAACACTGGGTTGAATATATTGAAAATTAATATTCAACAAATGGAAGTCCGTGGAGAGGCCACGTATTCCATCTTTCTTTATAATGAGAGGCTAATTTAACTTATCAGACTACTTCTCAAAAATCACCGCTTATTTCTTTTTCTTGCTGCTTCTTCTTAGCTCTTACCTTCCAGACTCAAATGTGAACCACGTTGAGTCACGTCCATATCTCCTCAAAGAGCTCAGAGGCCACATGACCAGCTTGACCTTGGCATTGTGGATGTCCCAGAGATAGATGTTTTCATGCGTGATCTGCATTGTACATTCCCCATAGATATCTAAATTTGGTGTAGGCATAAGATATACATTGAATCGTTCTGGAAAAAAACAAAAACACAAAATAAGGCATCACCAGTTAAAGCAAGATTTTATACTGGGGGAAAAAAAAAAAAAGTCTTTATTTACTGATGGTTCAAAAATCCAGGCCAAATTTCTAGCCCTGAACAGAGGTGAGGATCCACTGATGTCGAAGAAGCCTTGCTAGTGTACATGAGAGGAGTTAGAGGAGACTCTCCTTCATTTCATTCTCATTATAAATGATGCTGCAGACTGAAACATCTCTCACAGATGATCTGCATAGTCCCCAGCAACTTAATTGAAGCCCTTTATCCTCACGTTAAGGTCCATGACTCTTTGCAAATCAAAATTTACAATGACTTGAACTCTGATAGAGGCTCCTCTCTCAAAGAATAGAACTATAGATATGTTGGCAAAACATGTATGTACAACCATTGTCCCTTAGAAAAACTGTCCTTGAAACTGGAACCCCAGGTTTACCTATTGAAGCTTGTTAATAATTAAGTTCTTTGTGTTCACTTTCTATTTATTTGCCAAACTCATTATCATTTGTCAAATTAATAACATTTTTAATCATCTGTTACTTTCTTGAAAAAAATGATTTAACACAATATATTATTATGGTCGTGACATCAATTGCTACCAGCTGCACTTCCACTGCAGAGTGCACTCATTGCAGTAAGAGGTCAAGGGCATTAACAATTTTCTGAAGTGCATGAATTGCATGTGATTTATTAAGCAATGCAAAAACTATCTTTAAAAAGGAAAAAGGAAAAAAGGATATAACCAAGATGATATAAATCACCATTAACTCATATGAAAGTATGTAAACCACAGTAATAGCAAGAGAATTTTAAATAAAAATGCAATTTTCTTTGATGAATAACTAATGTTTCTATGACTTGCTTCCACAAAGAATGAAAAATTCAGTTAAAATTCAGGTTGTACAGTTGGAAGCGCTAGTCTGTATTTTAACTCTAAAACCACTGAAATCCTAGTGCTTAATAGCATAATATGAGAGTGCAGCTGATTCACAACTTCCTCCCATAATTTCCTTTCATTTTTGAAATAGGATAGAAAAGCAAAATGTCAATGCTTCTGCACTGAAGGGTGCTGATAAAAAAGGTAAGAATGATTTAAAGTATGAGCATGAGCAATGCTTCTGCAATAAACAGTACCAGGAAAATGTACTTTAAAGGGACACCTGATAGAAAAATTGTCTCCAATTACTTAATAAATGAATGACAGTATCATGTGTAACCCGTTTAATCCACCATTCACACTGAATTTTCTCATGGTGTCCTCATAAAAATTAGGAAGGAATTTAATGTAGTCAGAAGAGGAATCAAGTGAGAGAAATTTATCATAACAGCCAAAATCAGATGCAGCTTCCCATTGTGTTTGACATTCAATATCACAGACCTTATGTCTCAATTTTTTAAACATTTGATATATATATGTATAGTTTTCTGAAAAAACAGTGAAAATATTGCAAATAAGTGAGTTAATATAAAATATGTCAGAAGTGAGTGTGTGTGTGTGTGTGAATAAAGTAGCAAAAGTTTGGCTGAGGAACTAATGGAAGCAGGGAATTGCTGGGTGAGCAGTAAGAGTTTTTGTCCTGCATAGCTATAAGTAAACTTGTCATCCCCACTGTTATTCTGTTTCAGTCAATTTAATTTTGTCCTATTAATGACTCCCCAATTGATTCATTCAGTCTCACAGCAATCCAACCTCTTCTCCCAGACTCTAGTTCTCATTAATCACACTAATGGGTGTTAGCCCTAAAAGTTTCCTTTTATGACTAAGGTCCCAAGTGTGAAACTCCTAATGTTTTATAAGTCTTCTGACACACAGCACAAATAGATTAGGAGGTGCCGCTGAGATCACTGCAAAGAATTTCCCCTAGCCCTCAGAGGAATACGTTGGGCACAGCTCTAACCTAACCCCTACCGAGGTAAATGGAAAGACTTACATGGGAGTATGGGTCAGCGACTGCATTGGGAAGAGAATGGTGGAGAATAAGATAACTTACACTTTGCAATGGAGTTATATATTTTTTAACATATGTATATACCCTTTTTCAGTATGCATGTCGTTGTGATGGTCATGCCAAAATGCCTAGGAGCTACACAGGTGTGCTTTCATCCTATATTAGACTCCAGTTTTGCATCGCCATGCTGTTACTTCCTCTTACTGACCTCCTCTATTTGAAAGAAAGATACAAATGACTGACGTATCAGCCAGTTCTCTCAGCCTCCCCTTTACACTACATGAAATCACAGAATGCATTTTTGGTGGAATGGGGTGACTATCTGAGAATGGAAATCTTTCCCTGTCTTTACTGACATCGCCTCAGACAGCAGAGAAGATGGAGACGTGCAATTATTTTCTGAAGTATATGTTAAACTGTTGTGTTGAAGGTATAGAGTATTTCAACTTGTTTTAGAAGTTACCAGAATACTCATGAAATGTTCAACTTCTCCAAAGCATTTGAAGATATTATTGCATGAAGGGTATTCAGGACACATGGTGTCCTCAAACTGTCAGGAGACATTTGCTGACTTTGCATGGGAGGTCAGTGTTTAAGGTGAGGTGTCACGGATTAAAGAAAGTATGTCTGATTAAACTGAACATCCTCTGCAGGGCAAAACGCTGAACTCTTGGAACTTACTCAAATTGGCAAGAAAAGCAAGTGTACAAAGATAAGTGCAGCAGAAGACTGAAGATGGATATATTTGCTTTTGAAATAAAAACTAATACTTTTGAGTAGTGGAAGATTGAGGACATGGAAAGGTGTGGACACTAGTAAATGATTTTAGGAATTAACATGCAGGGTCCAATTTTTCCATTTCTGAAAACATTTGAACATGTATCTAGGTAACGGCAATATGATCATTCAGTTTTTAGAGGCAAGATTTGCCCTTAAACTCATCCAGGCAAGAATAAACTTTCATAGACTAGATTTGGGAATCCCCGCTGAATTCTGTCACTAGGTCTTCTGAATCATATTGAATAGGACATTTAGTTTCTCTGTGGGTCAGTGACTATTTGTATATGAGTGGGATGAGATAATAATAGTTCATTGGGTAGTAAGGTTAAGTACAATGAAGTTAATGACAGACCCAGAAAATAGGGAGATGGAAGAAATCAAACAAGTAGATGCTATCCTGTTGGACAAGAAAAGGCTGAGACTGACCAGGTGCAATTCCTCAGCAGTCAGCATCATTATTCTCTTCCCTCCTCTAAAATCGGTGAAAGCAAAGTTCAGGGAGTGGGGGAGTCAAGATGAGAAAAAAATGCTGAAATATTGCCACACTCACTCCACTCTTTTTTGTGTAACTGCTCTTTCCCATCTCCTTGAATAAGCAGAGTAATACTTCATCATACACTTTGTGCATATAAAGGTGTTTAGTGTTTGGGCTTTGGCAAGAGTATGACCTTTAATAACGTTTTCCAGAGCACAGGAGCGTAAGAGTCGTTGTTAAAATGAGCTTATTGACTGAGATGGAGACTTGGCAGCAACACTGAAATGCTCTCAGTCTTCCAGCTCAAAGTCCAGCTGTATGGGGGAAACAAAAGGACTGAGGGCAGTGATTCTGGTTCTGCCATTTTATCATTGGATTCCTTTGCCTAAATCATCCCAGCTGGAAAACTGACCACATAATATTGCAATCTTGCAATCTAGATGCTTTGTTCCACTTCAGCTTTAATGTGAGGGGAAAAAGCCCTTATGGAAGGAGGCAGTCAAGTTGGTGGGATCTATATAAGAAGAGGCTTTAAAAGCAAATATTCAGTTTCTATCTGGAAGAAACTCCTTCACCATCCATGAGATTTCTGCTGCTGACCATCTGTAGCTAACTTCAGGTGGAAAGAGAGCTCTACATCTCAAAGTCACAACATTTTGTGTTTGTTCATATGTCAGGTCTACTAGAACAGGTCTCTCCTGCTTTACGCAGTGAGGAACCAGGACTTCAGAAGTAATTTGATCTCTTTGCTTATCATTAGTCTGCTTTTCTTCCATTAAAAATGTATGCAAATGTTTATTAACATCTCAATTAAAATAAATTGCCATACATTAATTATTTTAAATTGTTTCACTGATAAGTAGTCAGGTAGAGAAGAATCTGAAAACTCACTGGATTAACCAGCCTTTAAACTGGAAACACCTTTATTTTCTGAATAAAGATGTCTATGTTTGTTTTATTTAAAAAAACCAAACAAAACCAGACACAAAACAAAACAAAACCCCCACAAAGTATAAAAATGGATTAAGGATAACAGAAAATGAATAAAAAACATGCAAAAGGCTTTTATATAGTCCATCAGAAACGGGGATTCTATAGACCCTAGAAAATGCCCTAAAACAAGTTGGCTCTGTGAACATAATTACAAAGTCTCTATGCTTTGGTTGTAGTTTGTAATCTTAATATGCAGCATAAAGAAATAACTCATAATCCTCTTCTGAGGATTCAAGGACATTGTTCAATATGAAATGCTACATTTTTACTAACAGAAATTAATGATCTTCTTGCAATTAAAACCCAGGAAGCAAGACTGCTGTACTGTGGAATCTTTTTAAATAAAAAAGGAAGGTAAAACAAATGCTATGAGAAAGAGGAAAAACTTTACAAAGAAAGCAATTTTATGAGATATTAACTTCAATATTAGGCAGGGAGTAAGAGTAAAAAATCAATTATCTTTCAAACTTTTCCAGACTTCTAAAATAAAAATTAGCTTTATAACGTATTTAAAAAAAAAGCCAAAGCACCAGCACACATAATAGAAAAGCATCATATTGACATCACAGGTATGACATCTAATAATATATGTGCTACAGCAGCAAAAGATGGAACAGGCCTTTTCTTCAGCTTAAAAATTTGCATTTTTACATTTGCCTATTTTCTTCATTGTTTACAACAGTTTTAGAAGTAAAAATTAATGGAATATGATTTAGTACAAGTATTAGGTTATTTTAGTATTATTATTTAGTATTCAAAATAGGAATAGAGTCTTCAACAAAGAGAAGCACCTGCTCTTAAAGAGTGAATTTAGTAGCACTGTCTGCTTTTTTAACCAATATTGTCTTAAATATTCTGGTTTCCTTTTTACTGTCTGTCATTGTATACTGTCCATTTGGACAGTATAAATAATTCTTTCTAATTATTATAATAATAATTCTTTCTAATTATTTCCTTTTATAAAGAATGAAAATACAGTGACACATTGGAAACTGATATTTTGGAAAAAAAAAAATCATGAGCATGGACAAATTCTAGATATGACGACAGCTAGGCAGGTAAAAATATATAAAAATTGGTTTGTTTTTGTTGTTATGTTTTGCGGTGGACTACAAATGCTTCCAAATGCATTGAGAGCTGGAAAAGAAGTTTCCAATTCTTCCAGATGAAGACAGCACTGTACATTCACAATTTCTTTCCAAAAAAATTCCCTAGCAGCAGCTTGAGAAACTTAAGGAATATGAAATATGTGTGTAAGTATCGCATGTTATTGCTCAGAAAACTACTTGTCAACAGTGTTATCAGATCCAGCTGAGCACAGATTTTCTTTCCTGGAGTCATAACTGTGTATTATTATTTGTCCTATCATTGTATACACAGCTCCACTGCCATTATACTAAATTCGTTATCTGAATAGGATCATGTAGTATTTACTGCTTTTGATTTAATACTATATTTTCATTCTTTATCAAATAATCCAAATGGACATTCATAAACAGTAAGAGACTGTGTTTGGTGTGAAAAGAAATTTAAACAGAAACAGGGTTGCTGCTATAGGGCTGGGGAACACAAACAAATCACTTCGATTTGCAGAAGAGAGAAGGTAAAATGGTTGGAAAGTAACAGAAGCTTCATTTCAAATCTCACTTTTCTTGGAATCTGCATATCTTTGCAAACTAAGCAGCCATTAGTTGTGAGGTGTAACCATAAAAAGAAAACCACCTAAGGGTCATTTTCCACAGCGGAGTTTACATAGTAAGACTTGCGGTAATACTTCCTGAAAGTAATAATAGAGATGAAATCCAGTGAGAAGCTTCCTGTTACTGACGTGCTTTGCACAAGGATTGCTTAGATGTCTTCTCTGTTCTTCCTACAAGACTCAATAGCCAGAGGTCTCTGCTGTAAGCAGCACAGATCTCTAATTTGGTTCTTTTAGCTATTGCCACTGCAGAATTGCTTGGTGCTGGAGGGTCAGGCAACAGTGCAACCACAATAAAATACATCTCACTGGCACTTACTGAACAACTCAGAACTGTAAAAAACCATCTCTTTCAGAGAGCTGCACTGCTGCAAATTTTTATCCTTATATGACAGAAATGCCTCATGAATGTATGGCCTTTTAGCCATGACATTTGCACAGCAAACAGCAACTTTGTCAGCCTTCGGAACAAACGGTTTTCCCTACCAAAATCGAAAGCTCATCTCAGGAGAACCACAAGAGTGAGAGTGGGAGGATAAACAGGCTCAGATGTGACAAAAAGACGTTAGACAAATCACAGCAAACACACGTATTTTCCTTGCCAAGTATTTTCTGAAATGTGAGTTCTTGGGTATAAAAAATATAAGTAGCACATAGCAGTGAGCTTTTATGGTCCCGGGGCTTATAAAAAAAAAAATTAAGAAAATTATTACAAATGTTGCAAAGTGAAAGTACTGGCTATGGTGGTCACATATAGGGCCTAAACCAGAAACCTACACAACAGAAGACTTACTGTTTTTTCAAGAGATAATCAATTTACTCGACCCCTTCAGTGAATACCCTTAAAAGTACATGACATGTATCATGCAAATGTCCTTTACAGAATGCAGTGGGCAAGTAGTTGGACAGATTAAGAACATAGCATATTAAAAATATTATTGCTAGGAAAATGTAAAGCAGCTCATGAAAAAAACCCTTATTAGGCTAGTTCTTTTATCATCAAGAAAGTATCTTTATCAAATTTTAATCATTTCAGAAAATCTTTAGGGCAAAGTAACCATTTGAAAAAAAGACAGTGGAATGAGATGGGACTGATGTTTAATACACCTGTTCTTTTGGGATTAATGGTATTAACACCCTGTCATATCATAGAGAGATCAACAGTATAACACCGTTATTCAAGTGCTTTTAGCTCTTAAAATGTAAAAACAAAAGATGTGTCTAAAACTGCAAAACGACTGGCACTGTAGTCTTTATGACAATGCAATCTGTGGTCTTGCTCAGATACTAAGAGACACCTTTTGTTCCGTGACCTGAAAGAAAGCCCTCACATGGTTCAGGCAACAGAACCTGCATGAAACTAGATACTGAGACTTTATGATTCTATTACAGGTTTTACAAACTGTATCCTCACATCTCTGTTTCAAGCAAATATCAATACATCAAGTAACTCAAGAGGAATGCTATGAAGTTAACATACTTGCAATATATTTTGAAATAATGACATTCAAAGGTACTACGCCAGTGTACAGTTTTTATTTAACACAAAAATAATAAAATGACCCTGGGAGTGACACAGCTGCCATTTTCACAATGAGCAAGAGTTTAGACATTTCATACGTATAGTCACTTTTCATGGATTTACAATTGGATAATTAATTTTGACCTTTCAGTTTCAGGTCGTTTCAGGTCAGCACAAGCTCAGTAGATTTGTGGAAGGTTTTTAGGTATCTTTTGAACTACAATTATTGAAAGCATGCCTTTAAAAGCTGGGGAAAATGTGCACGAATATAAATTTAAAATTTGAGTTTTTTATCAGAGCTCACAAAATTATTCCACCCTCCAATTAGTCACTGTTTCCATAAAACTGTCATGTGGGAAATGGCACTGCCACGTTTGCAGAATAAGATAACTAGTATAAACTGAAGTCTTACTGAAGGAATCTGCTAAAGAAATTTAATTGCAACTGCAGGTTCTTACAGCACAGCTAAATTAAAAAAATGCTAGATTTCATAAAAATAGTAACAATCTCTGTACTATTCCCTCCTTCCAAGTTCATTAAAAGACCCCCCAAACCAGAATTTGCTTTGCTTCTGAACAAGAAGGACAAGAAGGAACTAAGGATACAACTTTAAATTTCAAACATGCTTATTAAAATGCAATTGTGCACCAAGGGGATGAGGGAAGGAAGCTGATAGGTATCAAAATTACTTGTCTGAGATACTGTAACTAATGATTTAGCAGAGCATGATCGTCAAATATTAGATTATACCTATTCAGACATGTGGTTTAAAAGAATATGGCTACTGATACCTTCCACGCACTCTTATTCATGGGATTTGTACAAAAAATATGGGATTTGTACAGAAAATGCATGCTTTGCCTCTTTTTTTCCTTTCATTTACTTACTTAGAACAATAAAGATGACAATTATGTTCATATATGCTGGTTGATAGTATTACAATTAATTTCTAGACTAAAGCAATTGAATCAAGGCTAGTTCACACAACAGAACGAATCTACGTCTTCCGGAGGTTGTGTGTATAACTGGATCTTTTTCAAAAACACAATTAAATGTAATCTTTGCTGTCTACGTCTGAAAGCTGCTGGACAGTTCATGAATTCACTGCAGAAAGAGCTTGAGGAATTTCAAGCTATTCTTCTGCTCACGTCACAGACTTTCGACAAGAGTTATTTCCCCTCACATTTGTGAAGAAACTCCTCCACCTGCTCACATAGTTCTCTTTTCAATAGTATGCATTTGAGTTGTATACCTATAGCCTATAAGCGTATAGCAGATAGGATGTTTTGAGTGGTGTCTGATCATTATTATTGTCCTACAACATTAGTAGCTCTCCCTTTGCAAAGTAGTTTGAGACTACAAATTAAATCCTGTGTCTCACAGCAGGCAAACAACTTCACAAACATTTGAACTTCTTTTGAATTGCATTTGAACGTCTGATTTTTGAACAAAATTTCTTAAAGTTTTCTGTATACTTCATGTTACAACGTTCAGAGATGTCTAGAGTCGACGAAATTAATACAATATAATCAATATAGTGCTATTCATTCCATAATTTAATTATGTAATTCTGTTTATAATGATAGTTGGCTTGATATTTTATGACCATTGAGGCAGTTTGTTTTATTACTTTGTTAAAAGCTGTTGGATTTTATAAAAGCATCGAGACAGCATAATCATTGAGTGCTGTAATTTAGGGAGGAATAAATGAGCACATTTTGAGTTGCCCTCGTGTTCATTAATAGGAATTAAATGACAGGATAATCACAGATTTTCTTTTGTTATTGCATATTCCATCCTTGCTGTGTGCGTGCTTAATCTAAAGTTCTGTTCCAAATCGCCTTTATATGAAGACTTACTAGCTCAGGCTTAGTACTGACTAGCATCTGTCATTGCCCTTTTCACCTGTATTTCACAGTTTAGATGACCTTGACTTCATTATTCAAGACAGGTATGAGTTTAAAGCAAATATGTGTTTGGCAGTCCAAAGTGGTGTTGATATGTTCATTGCTGTCTTTTAAAGGCTGTGGAACAACAGCTGTTGTTTTATTCCTCTGCACAGAGGCCATTGTTTCCAGAACTAGAAAGGTCATAGTCATCATTTCCCATGACAGGAAAATGCAAACACAATGGACACATGAAGTTACTCTATGTGTACAATTTGGTACGGAATTTAATTATCTTTATTTGTAGACAAAATATGATTGAGCCTCAAAACCACATCCAAATGTTTAGTTATTAATGACGTGCTTCTAGCTAATAGTAAAAATCCTCATGACAACAAACACAAGCAAAGATAACCTGGGACATCACCTAAGAACTGATCTAGGAGCAATTACAAAATTACTTACCATTTTGCTCTCTCTGGACTCCAGCAGCAAGCAAATCTGGTTCCCCAAGACTTATATCATTGAGCCTGGTTCCTAGACACTCCATGCAAAGATGTTTGCACCATTCCTCTGCCTCCAGTTCTGGAAAAATAGGAAAAAAAACACCAGTTAGTGTTAACATTTTACTCAAAACCAGATGAAGTTAAATCAATACCTTCTTATTGGCCAGCTTCATGACAATATGCTTGTGTTGAAACATGACATTAGCATAAAGTTCCACACCTATTTCTTTGTCAAGATTTATGAACTTCTAAAGGGGTTTAGACTATCAGGACCGCATCTCCCATTTTGAAATTTGGGGGTAGAAGGTGGAGTTAACAAAAAAGAGAAAGGACTAGTGAGTTTTCAAGACATTATTTTTCTAGTAGGCCTTCTTGAAAGAAAAAATGCAACACAGATAGAAAACATTAGATATAACATCTGAAATATTCTTCACTGCTCTTTAGATGAATCTGAACTATTAAAAATCTTTCTCTTTCTAAAGATTCTAGAGTAGTTTCTAGAAGACAAGGAAAAAACAGTAATAAAAAGATCATCAAATGCAAAACTTCCTTCTCTGCTGTACTGAACGGCTATGCCTGTCAAGTTAGTCTGAATAATTAATTTTTTCAATTCAGTTGACCTTCATTTGGTCTCACAGAAGTTTGGGCATTAGTTGGAACATTTGTATGAAAATTCAAAACCTCCTAGTCGTTTCTGAGTCCTTCATTGCATCCCATCGTCGTACATCTGAGAGTTCCCTATCTGCTAGTCTACAAGATATAAACCCCCAAGACACCACAACAGCCCCTCCTCCATACCCAGCTTCATCCTATCCACTTCCCAGACTGAAAATCATGAAATCTCTGGCATTGGTCAAACAAACAACATCTCAACAGGAACAGGTTGCCCAAGGAAGTTGTGGAGGCCCCATCCCTGGAAGTGTTCAAAGCCATGTTGGATGAGGCTTTGAGCAACCTGGTCTCGTGGAAGGTGTCCCTGCCCATGGCAGGGGGGTTGGAACTAGATGATCTTTAAAGTCCCTTCCAACTCTAACCATTCTATGATTCAAGCTGGCTTTCATACAGTGTGAAACCACAACTAATAAAAATCATATAACTAGGCCAACTGTCTTTTATTACAGAGTAGGCTTCACCTTAGGGAAACTTTCTGGAGAGCAGACTTGGCAAAGGGACACGCTGAGCATCCATTGTCACAGTCAGTCTATATCTGATCATCTTTAGGAACGGGTGACTCCAGTCATCTAGAAATGTCTCTATTAAACTACCACAGTTTTTTCATTACTATTTTTGGGGACATCTGGAAAATACTTTCACGACAATCTCTCCAACATAGTGCTGAAATTTGGAGAGACAGAAAAATACTGCATGCAAGCCCTGAAGCAACTAGTGATGATGACTCAGTGTAATTAGTGAAAATTTATATCCAAGAAAAATCTTTCCATGCTTAATTGGTACAGTCCTCAAATCCTTGCCTGGTTAGGCATAGATCTCAAGTGACAGAAATTTGCTGGACAAGAAAGGGAGAAAGGCACGCATTTTTGGTCTCCAGGAACCTTTGGATACTTTCCTTTGTTCAGGGCCCTGAATAATCCAGGAATAGATTGTTGCTGTTCTGGCTTTCAGCTGACCAAGTTCCCACACAGACAGCTCAAATGACAGAGCCTGTTTTGGGATTTTTAAGAGCCAAATGTGGTTGTTGTCACAGGGTCACAAACAATTTTGGGGGCTCATCCAGAGCACTGTAAGCAAAGGGGTTTCCCTTATTCTTTCCTGATTTTTTGCAGTCTTTGTCTCAGGACACAGGTCCCCAAAGTTGGTTTTCTCATAGCATCCTCTGCTTCTGGTGTGAGAGACAGAACTTTCTGTTAGTAACATCCAGATGACATTTAACTTTGTATGTCAGAAGAAAATATTGAGGTAACAGCACACTGTTCCTTAACACCTACAGACACAGACTCCTTGATGGAAGTAAGGGGAGAACAGGTATATCTCTGGACAGCTATAAAACCTTAAGACTTTCAAAAGGAATAAGATGAATTTGTTTAAAAGTCTACCTCCAAAATTCATCTTCTGCTCATGCACAAAGAAATTTCTCTCCTGTTTTCCCTTCCTCTCCTTCAGTCTTTGCTATTTCCTTAGATATTCATGAGGTCTGTTGAACCAGAGCCGTGCCTATAAATCACACCTTCCCATTGAGAGGGCTTCATGTCAGGCAAATGACAAAAGTGGACCACAAAACATGCTGCCATACTCTGGCAGCATGCAGAGAGGGTGTGGGGGGCAGCGCACCAGCAAAGCCCTCCTAGGGAGGATTTCCACCGAGTCACGCAACATCTGCTTCCAGCTACAGATAAACTTGGGAGAATCAGTGCAGAAAGGTTGATAGTGCAAAGGTGACAGTGCAAATCTAGTCCAGTGCTCCCATTTTTCCTTCCCTTCCCTCTCACCATTTTTTTCTGCCTAAACCGTATTGCAGAACAATATATATGCTGACAGAAGGCATAGCTCTATATAAAGCCTGTAATTTTTCCTGGAGCGTGGTCAGGTTACAACATTTTACGTACTTCACAAAATCTGCATTTTATTACTTTCTTTCATTGTGCCTGCACCCAGACTGAAAGGGTACATTCTGGAAATGTAGATTGAGATGATGGCCAACAAACACTAAACTAACCTTTCAAATTTTACAAACATTTAAGGAGAAAGGAAAACATATTGACATTTCCATAAATCCAGCTTAATTTAACATCAATATATATTCAAAACAGGGCTCATGTAAAAGCAACAAGTTCTGTTTATATGTATTCTCACACCACATTTCCAGCAGATTTTTTTGGGAAACAAACAAACAAAAAGCATTGTTCTAGGAAGCCGTTTCTTGTAAGCATCTTTGGTTTTGTCTTCTCAATCCACTTGCCTCTCTTTATTACAGGAACATCTAGATCTTGAAAGTTTGGATCCAGAAACTGCCTTTCAGAGTGTTTGACTCTGGCAGTTTAATTTCAGCTGCTGCTTCTTCAGTGCCAGACATTGGGGATTAGACCCAGATTAGACCCTTCTCCAACTGCTTCACAGAAAAGACTTATCTTACTGTGAGCATTATAAGATCCTGGCTATATTTTGCAAAGCGTAGGCTATAACATGCATTGTATTACTGTCTAACTCAAAAGTTGTATCTTACAAAAATGATGCGACTTAATACTACAGAAAACATAGTTTCAATGCAGAACTGAAATATCTTCCCACAGAACTGTGAGGATTTGTGTCTGCTGTCAGAAGCATCAACATTATCTACAAATATGTTTGGAAGGTCAAGGGTATGAGGGTACTGGGCAAGTTAGTTTTACCTAATGCATCCTAATAGCTATTGCTCACTTGCAAGGGATTGCCTGCAACCTTTTCCTTGACAGACATGTGAAATCTTTAGAAGCAGGTGAATTACCTTTCAAAGCCAAAGCTGTATTTCTCCTTTCATCGTGTGCACCTACAAAGCAGTTCACCATTCTTTTGTAAAAGGTCTATAGAATGCTTTGTGTTTCTGGATAACAAACTAATTATTATTTATGATTTTAAAAATTTCTTTATTATAATTTATAGCAAATAAATGCATTAGTCACAGTAGCAATCTTTAAAAATGATAGCTACCATGTCACAAAATAGAGATCCCACTGTAACTTCCTTATCTTGATTATATGGACTTACTGAAACAGATGAAATATTACAGTGGAACCAAGCCATAAAAAGCTGTCAGCAAAATTTTTCTCTTTAATGCATGTAGATTAGATTTATTGGTGGTAAATGCCGAGTTTTAAGTCATAACTGGTACTTGTCATTGAAAAATTTCGTTTCCTTTTAAGATAAGTGAATTCTTAGGCTGAATGATAAATTGTAAAGCATGCTTTCACAGCTATAAATAAAATTCAAATACTTGCATTTTCATCTTTACTGTTATTCGATTATAAAATGCTGCTATACAAATATCATGAGGTGAGATAGAATAAAAAGGGATAGGAGATCTTAATTAGGCACTGTTTATTGCCTATGCAATATTCTGGGGAACAAATCTGTAAAATTGTTATCTGAAAACACACATCTTGTTATTAGCAATATTTTCCTGCAGTTTACCTGAGCTCCTAGGTCATGCCTGAGGTTGTATGTCATTTCTGCTTCAGTTCCCAGGTGATCAAACTGGTGCTGTACCTACTTCAACCACTGAAGTTCTGTATTGCAAATACGTAATACCACAGGATGATAAATGGGCTTGGTGATATAATAATGATGATGAAGTAATGTTGGCAAATGGTGTTAGAATTATAAATTTGTAATAGTGAAAGTTTTCTTCTACTACTAACAGTTTAAAACAGTTCATGCTACACTATGCTACATCCCTTCTGCAGGGAGGCGGTGGGAAGGCAGAGATACAGATACACAGATATTTTTCGCTTCACTATCCTTAGAGATCCTCTAGATCCCTAAGGCTAGAGGTGGGATTGTTTTCAGACTCCTAACTTGGGAAGCATTTTGTCTGTGGACTAAACCAAATCCCTTCTGAATCCTGGTAACTTCACATTCTTTCACATTTACCTCCTGTGTTCACATTGCACAATCCTACAGGAGCCTTTCATCACCCACAAGTTGCCGGCACAGTTGAAAGCCGCTAGCCTGAGATAAAGCCCCAAAAAGGTGACTGCTCCTGCTCAGTTCAGCTTTTGTGTCCTTGAGTAACGCCATCTCCTGCAAGGCAGTGCCCTCCTTTCCAGGAGATCCCTTCCATCACTACCAGCAGCAAATTATTGCATTTGTAAAAAAAAAAAAAAAAAAAAAAAAAGGCTTAATTTATAAGCGACTCTTAAAGTTTAAAAACACAGATGAGGAATTTTGTCTCTTCCTATTCTCATGCAGCCCACAGAAAGTGATGTGACCAAGGATTTAAGTTGGAAATAACATGTATGCAATATTAGAGGGGGATAACAAACACCTCCCTTGTGCAAATCCAAAAAAAACCTCCCTTACTTTTCTAGCTTCTCCTAATGTCAAACTGTATAAACCTAAAATGTTAGGGTTTTTTTTTTTTTGTTT